TTACTGTCTCCAAATGTGAGTCCCTGCAAACTCCAATACACTGACTATGCAGACAGTTGAAATTTCTGAGCTATTTATACATACCAAAATAAATCACATTTATAGATGCAGCTTGGATCCAGTTGGTTTTGTTACTAATCAAATTACGGTTATATGGGTAATAATTCGAAATATTGAGTGAAATAAACTAGAAAAAGAATGCAGTAGACTCCAATGATAAATAGATGTCATTGATAAACGAACTGTACAAACTCCTAGAATAACTGGAGGTGAACTTGTCCATTGTTCTGCAAAGGGATTTGGAATGCTATTGTTGAAATTGGTTGTGGGCAGCTCAGTCATGGAAAGATTACTGGCTATATTTGGAAAAATAAGAATATGGTAAATAAAATCGTACATTTTTTCCATATTTAAAAATGTACTTTTGGGAAAAAATTCCTTAGAAAAAGGTAATCTATTTTTTCTTTTCATCTAGTTGTAAACTGCCCAGCTCTTTATATGAAGAAAGAGCTAAGAAATTTGTGTAATTTAACTCTGTACAATAATTTTAAGCTTTGAAATGAGTAAAACATTCTGTACTGTAGCTATTTAAATCTCATTTCTGTACTAGATATCTCAGCTGTGCAAGCTACAATATTGATTCATCTGGGTGGAATGAAATATGACTTTCAGTAGGGATACAGAAAATTCTGTTGATCTGATTTCTTTTCCCTGCCACTGTTCCTGACCATGAATACCTTAGCTTCTAATAGTTCAGACGAAGAGTGAAAAAAAAGGCTCTGGGATCAGAGCAGTAGCTTCAAAACTGTTGCTAATTTAAGGTCATGGTTTCTCTGTTGTTGTGGTACAACTCCCTTTCTTCCTCTATGCCACTCTAGAATCTTGATGAATCACAAAACAGCCTGAGTTGGAAAGAACCCACAAGGATCATTGAATCCAACTTCTGGTCCTGCACAGGACACCCCAAGAGTCACACATGTGCTGGAGACCATTGTCTAAATGCTTCTTAAACTTTGCCAGGCTGGTGCTGTGACCACTTCCCTGGGGAGCCTGCTCCAGTGCCCAACCATCCTCAAGCAGAGGAACCTCTTCCTAATATCCAACCTAAACCTCTCCTGAAGTTTAAGGAACACGGTTTCACGCCATTCCCTTGGGTCCTGTCACTGGTCACCACAGAGAAGAGATCTGTACCTGCCCCTCTGCCTTCTGCTTGTAAGGAAGCTGTAGACCATGAAGAGTTCTCCCCTCAGTCTCCTCCAGGCTGAACAGACCAAGTGGCCTCAGCTGCTCCTCACACATCTTCACTTCCAGACTCTCCACCATCTTTGCTGCCCTCCTTTGGACACTCTCCCGTTGCTTTATATCCTTCTTATATTGTCGTGCCCAAAACTGCCCCCAGCACTCGAGGTGAGGCTACCCCAGCTCAGAGCAGAGAGGGACAATGCCCTCCCTTGCCCAGCTGGTGATGCTGTGCCTGATGCCCCCCAGGACGTGGTTGGCCCTCCTGGTTGCCGGGTCACTGCTAGCTCATGTTCAACTTGGCATCGATCCAGACCACCAGACCCCTTTCCATGGTGCTGCTGTCCAGCCTCTTGTTCCCCAGTTTGTACATACATATAGGGTTTTCCTATCCCAGGTGGAGAATCCAGAATTTGTGTTCCTTAAACTTCATACAATTGGTGATTGCCCAGCCTGGGCAATTTGTCTGTATCTCTGCAGGACCTTTCTGACTTCGAAGGAGTCAATGGTTTCTCCAATTTTAGTATCATGGGCAAATTTAAGAGTCCTTAGAGTCCTGTCCCCAAGTTTTCTATGCAGACCCTGAAGACCACTGACCCTACAATGGAACCCTGAAGATCCCCTTCAGTGACAGGTCTGATGTCACCCCATTCACTATGAACCTTTGCACCCAACTCACGAGCCAGTCACTCATCCTTTGTACGACATGTTTATCCAGGTGTGTGCTGGACATTTTGTCCAGAGCGACCCTATGAGAGACAGCATTGAAAGCTTTAATGATAGCAAAATTGTTACATCAACTGGCTTACCAGCTGCTTATACTGCCTACAGTACAGTGATATAGTGATATCACTGTGTATAGTCATTAGCATATGGAAGCATAAAGTATATAAATTATAAAGATCACAGCGAATAGTGTTTGTTTTTATATTTAAAATATATAAAGAAACATGACTTCCTTTCTTATTCGTACCTTTTCCTCCCAAGAAATAATAGGCAGCACACTGAAATCTCCAACTTATTTTCTACATTCCAGTCCAGGAGAGATATCATGATGACACTATTTTTTTCAACATTCTTTTTCAACACTCCTTTATTGCATCCACAGAAATGCAATAAAACGTTGTAATAGTAGTTTGAGTGCCATCACTTTAGTTTTGAAAGTGCAATGGGAACAATTACATACACCTGTCTTAGCAGCAAGGATGAAGAAATACATGTAGGAAAACAACACCTCCAGAGAGCTTCATGAAAGATTGGAGGCAGAAAACAGGGCTTGCAGTACCTTTTATCCCAGCCTTGACAGATCACGTCAGATTCCAGTCCCAGCAGTGACATTTCTTAACTGCTCAGACCTTGAAAACATGCGTTGGAACTACTGTGATTCAAGTGCTCATCTCTGAAATGTTTCTTTCCTAGAACATGTCTTTGCTCATGCTGTTACGGTGCAGATTATTTACTGCATGGCTTCGCTGAGTGGATGACAATGTTTACTCTGCATCAAGGCTTCCAACATCCTCGTTCTAAGAGCAACGCTTTTTTATATGTTAAGGGCTAAGCGGCAGCATTCAGATGAAATAAAGTATCTTCCTTGTTTGAAAGATGCTGCCAGTTCTGCACAAACACAGAGGAAACTGTCATAACACAATCTATGTGCCAGAGTAAAGCTATAAAACACTTACTAAAATACCTTAAAAAGCAGGAAAGACATAGTTCAGAAGACAGTTGAAGAATTTTACTTACATAAATGCAACATAGAGACCTGAATATCTTTTTACACTTACAAGCAATGTATGTTTAGCAAATAAAATTAATTTTCATTCAACTAATTCCATCCTATATTATGGTGTTAATTATTTTACCTTTTATTAGGAAAGGTTTTGGCTGATGCAAGGGCTTTATCTGCTCTGGGGAAATGATTCCCTTCCCAGTCACACTGATCAACTTTTTCACATGAAATCACAGATCTTATATTATAGTCTATTTCAGATACATCTGACAAAACAATTGAATAAATTTTTTGAAAATCCAATACTAAACTGTCGCTGCTTAGTTTTAAAATGAAACCTGGTTTTGCAGAATTAGATTTTAGCAGGATCCTGCATCTATACATTGTTTAATTGGATACATATTTCATTTCTGTCACTTTCTCAGGGATTAAAATGAAATTCAATATAAACCATTTTTATAATTGTTCAATATTTAATCTCCAAGCAATTGACAACTAATTGTTGTTGACATTTAATTGCATGATTTTTCTAAAAATCTCTTTTGCTAAAGAGCTCACAGTACAGGTCAGTAATATTCAGAACATGCTTCCCACACACACACTGCTCAGGATCCCAATGCTGTCACTGAGATGATTCCTGCCCTAGGTGTTCTGAGTAATTGTGCAGTGAGAGTTCACTGCTGCTGTTTACACAGCCCATACAGGCTCCTGGCTTATGACAGTGCAAAACTGTCAAATGCCCATAACATACCTGTTCTGCTTGACCTATACGTAATTGTAGACAACTGAAAAAAGTACTGATGAATTAAATTATACACAAATTTGGACATGTGTGACTTTCCTACTACATAAAATTCTACTGGTTGCATCTGGTGTGCCATAATGGAGAGTGGAACAACCAGAGAATGAATCTTCTGCCGTCAGATGCTCCCTTCAGCACGTGTGGGGCACTAGTGAAGCACTCTTGTGACAGTGGGCTCAATGTTGCCTTGCCATGCTGGACAAGAATAAAATGTTTCGGGTGCCATTTGAGCTGTGGGGCACACAGTTCTCTCAGAGCTGGAGGGGAAGGTGGAAAACATTCTCTGTTCTCATCAGATATTCAAGTCCCAGTCCTCTCTGGCACTTCCAGCATCATCACATGCAACTTTTTCAAGTATTTATCTATTTTTATCCAGTTATCCTCCTCAGGCCTATGCTGTACTCTGTTGCCTGGTAATGAAGAGCATTTGGAATCCTGTCCAAGGGACAGTGTGATGTGCAAAGGGACACACGGTGTTGGCTCAGGAACACAGCTGTAAAACTACACTTTGGAGGCTGGGTTAAAGGAACTTGTCATGCTAACAGTGACCTCCTGATGCTGTGTCTTTAGAACATCTTCTGGCATTTCCAGTGGATAAGTTGTTTTAAAGGGAAAACACGGTGCTTTTCTGCTATGTTACCCTTGTGAGGAAAAGCTTTATCTGTGTGACACCAAGCACACAGAGTGCTCAGGAGGGACTCGAGTCTGTTCTCTCCTGTGGGTCAGGGACACCGCGTGTGCCACATCCTGGCATGCCAAGGGTCCTTCCCCATCCCCACCGAGTTGTGTGAGACAGACACCACAGAAAACCTCAAGCTCGAAAACCGTAAGTATTAATGGCAAATGCAGAACACAAACAGACAGACATATTTTGGAGAGCTTGGCATTGTTATACAGTCACTATCATTACGGAGTCACTACGTCAAAGTAATACAAATTACTACTAGTACAGTAATTTGACATTATACAGCTTTTATCTTTAGTTTTAATTACATGACTCTGTATTGTCAACACAGTTATAAAATAGAAAAACTAATCCCTCCCAGCAGGTCCTCAGCAAGAGCAGCCATAAGCTTTAGCTGTGTGTTTTAAGCAGGCCCCACAGACACCAAACGCGGGTGCAGGGTTCACCCCACCCCGAGCCGTGCCGAGCTGTGCCGTGCCGTGCCGTGCCGTGCCCTCACGCTCCATGGCCGTGCCCGCCCCGCTCGCGGCCCCGCCCCTCCCGCCTCCCCCCGCCGGCGGTGTTACTGCTGCAAATCCTGGATGCAGAGTCCTGCAAGGTGGGGAGGCTGCTCCCACACCACGTGCTCTGATGTTGGCATGTCAGTGGGAAAGCTCATGCTCAACTTATTTTTTTTTTTTTTCCCTTTTTTAATGGTTCCATCTTCTGTTTGCTGCATCTGTGCATTGGTGGTCAGTGTAGTTGGTGAAAACTAACTGGTTAAATGTGGGCTCTGTTGTAGTGTTAGAAGTCTGCACGCTTTCATTGTTGCAGTAAGTTTTGTGTTGTCTTACTTGGTCGGTGCAGCAGGATGGCCATGTGCTTCTTTTGACTAGAGGAGGCTAAAATGAAGTCTAAGAATCTCCTCTTAAAGATACAAAGCTTCATTAACAGCTAATTGGTTCAAGTTTGACTTCAGAAGTACTTTTGTTGGTTCAAAGTATTGCCTGAATATCATGAAGTGAGAGAGAGTGAAATTCCAGGGGCTTCACCTGTGTCTAGTGTGTTTTACTTCCAAAATCTGTTGTGCTGATGAACCCTAAAGATGAAATTTTCATAACTTATCTGTCTTCCATGTATCTCAGTCTTTGTTTTGTTTTTTCTTTAACTCCCTCCTCTGATCAGTCTTTTAGTCTGATTTTTTTTTTTTTGTCTTTCTGCTATATTGATGTTGTTCCAAGAAGTCTGTATTGGACCTTTTCAAAAGGTTTATTTGGAGAGGTGCTCTTATTTCTTGTCATTTGTTGAAATAAAGAAAGGAGCAACAGAAAGCCATTCATTTACTTGGGAATGAGACTGGTATTACAGGAATCTAGAATGGCGTGGGTTTTTTTTCCTTCAGGTAAGAAAGGTTGTTTTGCAAAAGTTGGCTTATGTCAGTGTGTTTTTTGTGTAAGGTTTGTATTGTGTTTCTTCAGTTATTGGGATCAATTGCTCCACATTTTTTTGTTCCACCAGCCCTTGAAGAACCTGGACCTTTGCTAAAACAAACATGTTAACATGAATAAGGACTGGCTTCTTACTCCCCTCTTTACTTGAAATATTAAAAGTCTAGGACAGTAAACATCCCTTATGCATGTGACAGTGACAAATACTGAATTATTCTGTGAATAATTCTGTGAATATTTACCAGGGGATTTGGACAGGACATGAATTACAAAACTAATCAATTTTATTTACAAAATGTTGATTTTTTTCCCCCCCTTCATTGTGCAAGATGCATTGCTTGGAATAAGTATTTTCTTAACTTTCACTCATTGTTACGCTAATGTTGGGATTTTACAAGAACTGTGACTGTGAGAAGGCAGTATTGTAACTCCCATGTTTGCTTTTTTTTTTATTCAGTGATACAGATTCAGATAGTTCATCAACTACACTCTTCTCTTCATCTTCAGCACTATCTGATGAAGATGTTCATCCACATGAGAAGGATAACAGATCTTACTGTCTTAGGACAAAGGATGAGTTGCCTATTGATGTAAGTACAGTGCAGTATTTTTTAAACCCTTTGCTACTAACCCAGCTAAAAATTTATATTTTAAGTCAGTCCTCCTGTGTCAAGATGGGGATAGAATCAGAATATAAAAAAACAATGCCAAGGCTGAGCTATACACAGTTTAGTAGGTAAAGCAAAAGCCACCCACACTAGCAAAGCAAACCCAAAAATTGATTTACCACTTTCCAGGACAGGCAGGTGTTCTGCCATCCCCAGCAAAGCTGGGCTCTGTGTGTAACTTTTGCTTGGACATACAAACACCATCCTTGGAAATGTCCCTTGTTCTCCTTTTTCACCCAGCTTTGTATCCTGAGCATGATGTTACGTGGTGTGGAATGTTCCTTTGGTCTGTGCAGGTCACCTGTGCTGGCTGTGCCCTTCCCAGCTCCTTTTGCACCCCCTCACTGGTGGGTTGGCATGAAAGGCAGAAGAGGCCTTGGCTCTATCTAAGCCCTGCTCAGCAATAATAAAAACATCTCTGTATTGTTAGCAGTGTTGCCAGCACAGATCGAAAACACAACCTGTAACAGCCACTGTGAAGAAAATTGACTTTTCTGCAGTGAAACCCACCACAGTTAATAGCATAGAAAGTCATGTTTTTTCAGGTATAGGTATTAAGGATTGTTAGTGGAACTGTTTCAAAAATCTCTTGCTTTGAAACAAGGATTGGCAGATACTGTATATAGTGTGGCAGAAAGTACCATTTTGAAATACAGGATCAGAATGTTACCTTCCTGCTTGTCTTTGACCTTTGAATTCTCTTACAAAAGTGACTCAGTTAAGTCTTAGCAGTGAATTGATTTAATGTTGGAAAAATCACTGGCCAGTAGAAGATGGATGGTGTAGATGGTGTTTTTATCTGAATTTATGGTTGTGTTTAGTGGTACAGCATTTGGGAAGGTCTCAGCCTTTTTGTTCTTTGCATTGCTCTCTAAGCCTTTGCCAGGCACTTTTGTTAAGAGTAAAGATTATCAGGTGAGGTGTTGATAAACTGAGGTAAGATTCTTCTGTTTGTGTGGGATTTTATTTTGAGTTGTACTCTTTAAAAAGTGCGGCTCAGTGCTAAGATCAGGGTGTTGAGTTTGAACAAAATGCTTATTCTAGTTTCCTTGTATTTCATAAAGTCTTTACTGAATTCATCATTGCTCTCTAAGCCTTTGCCAGGCACTTTTGTTAAGAGTAAAGATTATCAGGTGAGGTGTTGATAAACCGAGGTAAGATTCTTCTGTTTGTGTGGGGTTTTATTTTGAGTTGTACTCTTTAAAAGTGCAGTTCAGTGCTAAGATCAGGGTGTTGAATTTGAACAAAATGCTTACTCTAGTCTTCTTGTATTTCATAGTGTCTTTACTGAATTCACAGCAGCATAGTATATACATAGAAATCTGAGTTTGTGGGTAAATTGGAGATTATGAACTTGGTGTTAATGTCTTTGATAGTAGATTTTGATCCTTATATGGGCAAAAGCCTAATTTGAATATTGTGTAGTACTCATATTGTGTAGTACTCATTTTTGTATCTGAAGTTTGGCTTTTTGTGTTCTCTCTGATGTCTAGTACCAAATGCAACTTTCAGCTAAAAATAATTCCCTTTGTATAGGTTGTTATGATGTTTACATCTTCTATAATGATCCAAGTCACGATATAAATGGACAGACTCCATTTGTTGAATCAGATGATACACATTTGGTGTATTTTATGCTATATTGCTTCTTGCAGCATACATTTTTCTTCAGCATGCATTGGATGTTATTGCAAGTGGTCTTATTTTTTGATTTCTGATTGTTTAATTATTGTGTTGTATATTGAGCTTGGATGAAATGCCTGTCAGTTGTTGGCTTTCTTCTTTTAAATAAAACTGGTTTCTGCCATGGTTGTGAAGGAAATATGTAGAGCAGTGTCTCTGTAGGAGAGATTGCCTTAAAAGTGGTGGTCCCCCAAGATGAATTCATTTAGGATGATTCTGAAAGAGGCAAATCAAACTAGATTTTTTAAAAATAAGTCTTCAAAATGCCAGGGGATTTTTCCAAACTGTCAAATTTCTGCAGTGACAAAGTGGTAAGTGCCTTTGTGTGATATAATATTCTAAACATTGACTTGATGTTTGCAGAAATTGCCTCCTGTTGAAGACTTATCAATAATTCTTCCAGATAATGTTGAACTGAAGCTCTTTGGGACAGTTTCCAGTGTCGTTGAGCAGCTAGGTAGGCAAGATATGTTTGTTTTACTTTTAATTGTGTTTCTATGTGACTTCCATCTTTAATTTTTTTAATTCAGACCCCTTTTTTTCTGCTGTGTATTATGGTTTTTATATTGACACTGCCCACAGTTAGTGTATTTAAATGTTTTAACAAGGTCTTACAGTTGCAGGTGCTACTTTTGAATAATCCCTGCATATGTAGGAGCTGAAAGCACAGATGCAGTACAATGCAGTCCCAAGTGCTTGCTTGTTAGTAGATGAGGACAGGAAATAGACTTGTTTCTTCAGCAGTGCAAGTTCATTCATTTATTTATTGATTTATATCTTTATTCCTTCCACTTTTGGCACCTTGAGCAAATGAAAGCTGCCCATTGTCAGCAGTCAGAGGATGGTGTGACTAACATGATTTATAGGTGGAGGGTAAGCTTAATGTGATTGAGATACAGAATGGATGTAAGCTTAACTGCAGGCATTGAGATTTAGGGATCTTTTTGGATCTGTGTAGGACCTCAGTATTTGATAAATGAAATCAAAGTTTTGCTGAAGCTCATATTACTAAAACATCCACAGTGTGTTTGTATTTAAGCTGTTTCAAGTGTTCCTTCTGCTTGAACTGCATTCCAGGCAGTTTGCTTATGAAAATTAGAAATTAAATTCAAATTTGAAGTATTTAGGCTGAATGTAGTACAAAAGAAAGTATGTAACTTTTGCTATTAATTTTTCTTTTAAAAGACTTCAGGTAATACAGGCAATTCCTCTACATTATTTTATTGTAGTCATATTTAATTTCATTCATTTGCAAGAAGCTGGGAGGAGGGTGTTGAAGGTGGTAATCTGGTTCTTTTCCACTTTGCCCTTTCTTGCTTATTGATAATAATGGGCGTTTCAAGAAGGCTGCCTTCAGCTAAAATGGTAGTTTGAAAACAGGTTTTAAAAACAATTTGAATCATACTTGCTATTATAAGACTGCAGTTTTGAAAACCATCCTTAATTCTAATCCTCACTGGTGAGTATAATGTTTTCTCCAATACCAGCTTACTGGTAGGTGAAGTCTTCAAGCCACATCCTACTTTATGCTATGTACATTTATAAAGTGTTGAATTAGATTTGTTGGTGAAAGCTAGAAAACAAGCTAATACTCATAATGAAGTAAAACTATATGAATGGCATAAACCCCCAGGATATCTGTGATTATTTTCTTGATTTTCCTACCTTGCTTTATGACTTTTCTTTTTCCACATTTTAGTTTCTTTACAGTTCTTCTGAAAACAGTCATCAATTCCAGTTATTTGTGGCTATATTAGGGATCCCAGCTAATTGGGGATTTTTGTTTTGATTTTTGAACTAAATTGATACCGCTGTATACCAGGTTTGTATCTGATCTGACGGGAGTTGATTTTGTATTTGGAAGCCACCAATATTATTCTGACACAACAGTCAGTATTCTTTTTCTGTCCCTTTGATGTCCCTAAGAATCTCTGCTGTTCTCTGCAGCAAGCTTCCAAGTTCATCAGTGTGCAGTGAGTGAGTGATACTTGTAAGTGGATATTTCATCTTGTGAGGTAAATTTCAGGCTAGAACAGTGTAGGTTCATGCTTGCTGTGCAGTAGCTAAAAGCAAAATGACAGTACTTTCTGTGAACTTCTGCTCAGTGTATCAGAATTTAACAAAACTTGTGCTGTGTTTTGCTTCAAGGTATTTAAATAGAAGAGAAAAATTCACTGTGTGGGTTGGGATCTGGAAAGTAAACAGCTTTGGTGTATATGAGAAACTTTCCCTGGGGCTGTACTTTGGGCTCTGCAAGAGTAGAAGCTGATAATTTAGGATGGGTTGGGGTATGGGAAGCTGTAAGTCAGATAGGTTGGAAGTGGTAATGTTTCTCCTAAGTTTCATGGGACTGGTGTGTTGTACATTTTCAGAATATATTTTCCTCAGCCTACTGCAGGCTGGAAGCTACGCGTGGTGAATCAAGTTGAGAACATAATCTGAGAGGTTTTGGTGTTTGGTTGTTCTTGTGTAGGGATTTTTTTGTGTAGGTGTTTGGGGGTTTTGTCTGGTTTTTGGTTTTTTTTTTTTAGGGATTTTTTTGTGTAGATGTTTGGGGGTTTTTGTCTTTTTTTTTTTTTTTTTTGCTAAGGTATATTTCTCATGAGGTTTGAACAACACATTGGGTATTTTCACTATATGTTTTATCTTAAAGGTAGGCACAAAAGAAATTGATTTCACAAATTCTCTTGAAATTCAGTGAACTGTTAAGCCTGTGGAATTTTCATTTCCTTGTTTGGCACATTAAGTTTTTTGCAGATTGCGGTAGTAGCAGTAACTTTTAGTTTGGTGGCATGTTGATCGCTGAAAGTCCTTTTATGTGAGTTTAGCAGTGAAGATCTTGAGCTTTCTCTGGAGTCTGAGTGACACTATATACTTGAGTGACTTTATTTGCTGATGGACAGTCATTGAGAATGAATTTCTCTACCTGTAAAACAACAGAAAGCTTAATTGAGCAATGATTGTTAGGCCCAAATATCTATGAGACTTCTGTGGCATTAAATTGCAGAATGTCTAACAGATTGGGTATATGCATGTATAAACACCATCAGTTGCTACTGTGACTGAACTGCCAGAAAGCTTTCGTGTTCTGGTGTGATTCTTACGACTCTCTTTACCTCAGAGAACAATAATTCTGTAAACAACAGAGTGCATTAGCACTCATGTATCATTGGAGAAGGAGTGTGTGATAATACGTACTTTTAAACATGTGCAAGAATATTTGGTTGCAGCTCTACAAACGGAAGTAGACAAGTAGTGGTGTGGTTTGAGTTTTACTGCAATTAACTACATGCTGTTGAAACATAAAGTTCTAATTTATTTTTTTATTTCCATTTTAGTAATAATTGAATCACTGAGAGGCCTACCTCCAGTAAATGAGGAAAGCATAATTTTTAAAGAAGATCGGCAAGCAGTAGGAAAGGTGGGTGTAAAATAAAAACTTGTTATTCTAATACAGAATTGGAAGTATTCTTTAGTGCTACAGAAAATAGAGTTGAAGTCTACTAAATGAAAGATAATGTTTTCTTGATCTAGAGGTTTTCTCTGTGCCTTTGACTCTTGCTATATTCATCTGTTTTTTTAAATCTCAAGAATTCCTAACCTGGAATTAATTGCATCCTTGCAGAATTACAGTATCTGGTGAGTTTCCAGTGTTTGAGAGGGGAGGAAGAGATAGTTTTCAGATGTATGATGCGTTGGAATAACAGGCTGTGTGCTCTTTTACTGCCAGGTAGACGCAGGGGTTAGAGTGAAATTTTATGAAAAATGGAGAGTGTTTTCTTCTATGCTGTGCTGTTCTGATTTAAAGCCAGTGATGAATGTTTGCTGAGAGGGTTGTTGTACTGAATCCTCTGTTTTTCTGTAGAAGGAAAGCCATCGTCCACAATGGTTACTACTGAAATATCTCTAAATGCTGATGTGAGTGGAACAAACTTAGCCTGAATTGCAGATATTCTGTAAAACATGGCAGGATTGTCTGCTCTCCATGGAACTGGGAAACAAGCAGTAACTGTTGTAAAGGCATCTTGTTAAGATGAACTTGGAGGAAAAAATGATCGGGAGATTCTTCCAAGTGTTACGAGACTTGAAAGCATAACAGGCAGAGAAAACCAGAGATTTGACAAAAGGAGGGATTACTAAGGCTATGAGAACTTACTGTTCCGCATCATAAAGAGCAGTAGTTGGGGAAATACACTGTCAAACAAAATTCAATAATAAAAAAGTGTGAAAGGAACTTTTATTTAATGCTGCATTTTGAAAATATATTGGACTTCTTAAATATCATTGTCTGCAATGAAATTAGCTACTACTAATCTACTTGTAGTTTACTTAAGCATTTTAATTTTATTTCTTTCAGATATTTGAGATATTTGGTCCTGTTTCACATCCTTTTTATGTGCTAAGATTTAACAGCTCTGAGCATATCAAAGAGAAGGGTATTAATGTGCAAGATAGCATGTATTTTGCTCCATCAGTAGAAGACTTCACCCAGTATATATTTGCAGAAAAACTAAAACAGTGAGTCTGATTTACTTTCTGATCTGTTTATATTGTTTTCTTATATAGCAAAAATGTTGCATTAAAGTTGAGTCTTCAGTGAGAAACTGTAATACTAAGCTTAATACTGTATGTTTTCTTGAAATATTCTCAACTATTTTGTAATAACAAGACTGCACTATTTTGCCTTGGAGTACAAAAAAGAGTAGCTGTAAACTGCAAGCCTTTTAAGTGCTGTAATTACTAAAGTTTAGCTTATTCTACTTAATATATTAAGCTTGCTTTCTTTTTATGCTGCTGTTGACTAAAATACCACAGCTAGAAAAGTTCATTCATACTTCCTCCATACCCTCTGATACACATATTCTGGAGTACAAAAAAGAGTTTTTCAAGATGAACTTTCCAGATTTTGTTACTCTTTAGATTCGTTTATAGTTTCAGAACTGATTATAAACTTGTTTGCATTCTGAACAAGTCTGTATTAAGTTACTATTTTTATTTCATATCATAATGCTGGAATTGAAATGTAATTATCAGTAAGTTTCACAATTGGAGGATAACAATTCTAGATAAAAATTACCCTCTAAATTTGCAAGAGAGGAGAGATTTGAGTGACAAGGTAGTATGATGTTCAGAAACTTCTCAGCAGTGTTTGTGTATCCCAGTCTGAGGAAAGTAGCACGCATAAATAGGACTTGACGCCAGTTAGAGGAAAGTGTACTCAAAGATACAAACTAAGAAATAAAACATAATAAATGACAGCTAGATATTAATGTTCTAATTATTGATGAGCAATCATCTGAAATAACTATAGGCTAGATATCTTGTGTCATACAAGTGACTGTTTCTTAGGATTAGTTCTCAGGGGTTGGTTAATTGTCTGCATACATTACAGCTGTGCCAGTATTCATACTGAATAGTTCTTTTCTTTAGTCAGACCTGCAAGAGTCTTCTTTTTAACTTCCTTATTTCGGTGCAAGCAACAAGCATGTTTTCTTTCCTTCAGTGAGGACCAAAATAGATCACTTTCTTGCTCTGATGCTTGTTTGTTTTTCTGCAGCATTTTGATGCCAGCTGGTCTTTGATTTGCGCTATTAAACTTTGTTGCTTAGCACAGTAAAGTGCACAGACTTTAATCATCTGCTTGCTGCATCAATAACTGTGTGCTGTACTTAGCATCTGAGATGGGAGACTTGTGTTTTACTTTGTTTCATGCTTTGGAAATAGTTTGGAAAACCTTTTTTCATTTGGTAGTACTTCATTGTCTTAGGTGGTAAAAACCTGAAACCTGGGTACCATCCTTCAGACTTCCATGACTTACCAGGACAGCTGAACAGTGCTTCAGACATTGTTTCTTGTCTTGATCAGGATGAGTAGTGTGACTTAAGTTACAGTACATTAAAACAATAATTCATTTCTGGGTTTTGTCAGTCCAGTTTCTTAAGCTTGTGTGAAGCATTTGGTGCTATTGACTGAAGCTGCCTTTTCACTAAATAGGTTTCATTAAAAACAGATGAAGAATTTCTGATTTCTGAATTGTGCTGTAATGCTGTATAAAGACACTTCAATGCTATAAGAATGTGACATGAATAGTAGAAAAGTCAGGCTTTGGTCAGTGATCCACTAAAGACATTTGTACCTTAGTAGATGGCAAATTTGATAACCAATAATTTTTATTTTCTGCTTTTTCTTAGTTTGACTGTGTGCAGACCAGATTGTGGAGTATTACAGGCTTAAAGTTTCAAAACTGTGATGGTTCTTTGAAAAGGAAAGGAATCAAGATTAAGATCTGAAAGAAACACTGAATTTGAAGCTTTTTCTGAAGTCTGAAATGCAATCTGCTTGCATTGTACGAAGTTGCAGTGCTATGAATAAGCCTTACACTCTACAGAAAAATAAGTGAAAGTGTAGTGTAAAACTTTCTGAATGCAAAATAATTTGTTGCTAAAGATAGGCTTGTGTTGTATTGTCTGAAACCCAGTTCAAAAAAAGCTCATGTATTTTCATGATTCCTCTGAATTACCTTTTGTTAGACTTCAAGATCTTACAGTATGTAACTTCACAAGTCAAAAGAATTACTGTATTGTTCTTTGCAGAAGATATTAAATACCTCAGAGCATGAAAAGCAGTTTTTGTTTGCTGAAATGAGGAAGGCTGCTTTGGGTCAGTGAGATAAGCTGCCTGACCTTGAATGGTTTAAAGTTTGCTGTCAGTGATGTTACATATTGCTGAGTGACTGTAGGTCTTGGCAGTTCTTGTGAGCTCTGGTATTTCTGGCTGGCATGTGTTGCTCCAAAATAACAAGATGAAAGGAAGAAACAGTTCAGTTCATAATAATAAAATGAGTTTTCTACAGCTGAGAAATAACTTGTATAGAGTCCTTATGTTCCTCCCTGTAATGTTTTCTTCTAATTGAACTTCAAAATGTCTTCCTTGCCTTCCTTTTTGCTCATAATGTCAAAAGGACATGTAGAGGTTGAACTTCAGTTTTGTAGTTAGGGACTGAGGCACAAGGTACCTCCAGATGACTTGCCCGGGCTCTCATGGGTGTAACTAAGCACCTCTGAAGTACAGGCTGCTGATGCCGATGGTTATGTCTTTTTTTTGTAGTTACTGCTGCTTGAGTGTTGCTGACTTGATGGATACATAAAAAACTCTTGTTTATTGGAGCAGTGACTGAGGGCATTTTACACTGAGCACGTAGATGTTTTTAGCTGTGTGGTTCCATTTTCAGTATTGCACTGTTTTATACAGTTTTTCTGCATAGATAAGGATTGTACCTTGACATTTCAGACCAAAACACATAAAATTTGAGAGCAGCAGGGAAAAAAACTTCAAGACTACTGACAGTGTAATTTAAATATGTTTCTTTGCTAATCCAAGAAATTACTTGATCTTTAGTGAAGGACTTTGCAGTAGGTTAAATAAATTAGACTAATCCAAATTTATTTTGGTGCTTGTCAAGGCAAGACAATTGAGCTTTTGTGTCTTTAAATGTCTTTTGCCTTGCAATTTAATTTTACATTTGCAAAAAATAAAAGGTGAAACCTAGTTACCTAGCTAACATTGTCTTAATAAGATTGTAAGCCAAGCACTGAGGGTCTTCTGAATTTACTTTGCTGTAGTTATACTGAAAGCCTGTGTCCCACTGAATGAGTTCATGTGTCCTACTGAATAAGCAGGTTCTTTTAAACTGAGGATACATGTTCTGAAACCAGAAGAATAGGAATGCTTGTGATTGTTGTCAACAGTTAGCATAAGAAAGTTGCAGTGAGCTCAGTTCAGGTTTAAAGCAATTAAGGTTCAAAAGGATCTGTTTAGAGGATATTGACTAAAACTCAATGTTAGGATATTTGACTGAAATGTTCAGTCATCACATGAAGTGGGAAGATTATTCAAGAGTAGTGAAGCCCCAAGTTGACCTATATGTTAATGTTTGCTTATAAACAATATTAAAAACTAACTCTTTGAAAAGAGGAAACTCCTGTTCTGGGAGACCTGGTACCTTATAGAAGGTGCTAGCCTTCCTTTATCTGGATTGTCTAATTTGCGTTTTGTGTTGTTTTTTTTTTCTTTCAGGGAAAAAGGTTCAGATGCATCTTGGAAGAATGACCAAGAACCACCACCTGAAGTAATTATAAAGGGGTTTTTTTGTTTATTGTTTTTACACAAGTCATATGTGGAAAATATTTTGTGCAGAGCAAGTAATTAGCAAGCTTATCTTTTTATGGAGGCAAGACTTGAAGGTACCTCTTCATTGAAAGAAAGGATCATGGACCTTGGAGAGGTCTCATAGTGAGTGTAGAGAGTACTACCTGTCTCTCTGCTTGCTTTTTGCAGTTTGCAGAATTGTGTATCTTCAGTTCCTCTAGTCCTTCAAGAATATATTTGACAACCTGAATGTTTAACTTTGGTTAGCAGTGCTCTTACCTTCCTTAATAATTTTGCTTCTGTTAGGGAATTTTTGTCCCTGTCATTCTTTCACTGCAGTTTTGTCTGCAAGCAATTGTTTGTCTTTAAAGGCTTAATAGTACTCTGTAAACTTACTACTTGGACATTTCAACTGTCTGCTCTTCACAATTAACTTGAAATCTCTGTTGCGTTCTTTAAATGGCTTCATAGTAAGCTTACCCTACAGTTTGCTGTTATAAAACAAGAGTTCCATGAGTTGGCATGGGCTTCTTCCACAAAAATGCTGTCATACAGGGTCATGTTGAATTAGGAGCTCCTTGTGCCCATTGACATAATTTGCTATAGAATCTATAAGTATTTCTTCAATGACTTAATGTCAGTGGTCCTTAACTCCACTTTAGCTATACATTTTGTGAGTATTCAATAAGAATCACAAGGCTGGTAGTTTTATTGAATTGTTTTAAATCACAACAGTTGAGTCACTTTTTCTTGCAATTTCTACTTTAAACATATACAAAGTAGCTGAAATTCCTATAAGCCTTGTGTCTGCCATAGTATTTTCAAGATACCTGTCTGTTTAGTTGTATCCTCAGTCATGTAAGTTTGAATTCAAAAGGTAGCAAAACCTTGTGTAACAAGAAGAAAACATTGCAGGGACATTGAATCTGTTGTAAATGACAGCATTCCTCAAAGCTGAAAATTTTATTGCTATTGCTATTCAACAGAAAGTGTTATTAAATATACTGCAGAAAATTCCAGTGTAGTGACAATTTTAGAGTAGAAATTTTTAATGTAGTTTTAATGCTGAATTATGTATTAGTTACCAAGTTAATTTTTATTTATTTTAAAAATTCATTTTTTAATTCACTTTATCAGCAGTTACTCTTTGAAAGCTTTTTCTTGGCAGTAACCAGCCAGCTCCTTTTTTTTTCTTAGTAACATATAGGTAATCAAACATTTGTGTTGAGCACTGGAATGTTGCTCTTTTCAGGAAAATTGGAAAGGATAACTGAGTCATGCATCAATTGTGTTATGATAAATTTTCAGAGTGTTAACTTTTTTATTGTACTGAGAAGCCAGCTGATTTTTTTTTTAACCAGGTTTTGGATTTCAGTGATGATGAAGTAGAAAGAGAGGCAAAACAGAAGAAAAAGAAGGCTCAAAGTCAAGGAAGGAAGAAAGTCAGATCAGACACGCTTCCATCAAGTGAGTGAATGCTATGTGAATGCTTTAATCTATGTGAATGTCTATTAATCTAAGTTAGGAATGCCTATTTATAACTATCTCAGTGACTGAGATTTTCTACAGTTAATAGTAATTCTTGACTTTTTAAACTTACATTTGAGTTTGTGGCTACATTCCATGTTTATTATTTTAGAAGAAAAACGAAGTTTTTTTTCTGTTGAAATGGAAGCCCTGTGGAAGGGAAGTGGTATAGCAGCAGAGCAATTGTTAGGGGAAAGTCAGAGGCTCTTAGGACAGTGCTGGTGAGGATTCTGATCAGGTGCCACCATTTGGTTGGGGTTCAGCTAAAGCCTTTGAGTGCTGGGAGTAGACAGAGGAAGGCCATATGCGATTTTTGGAATCCACTTCTTTGCAATCAAGGAAGGAGATACGGGTCATAGAGGGAGAATTTACTCCTCTGTCTAAAAGGAAGCTCTTCCTCACCCATGGCAATACAGATACTCTTCTAAATAACTCTTAATTTTGTAGCCTGCTGAGAACTTTGTGTTTACCTAATGCAGTCATTAGATGAACAAAGCTGTGTACAGATTTTCATAATATGAATAGCCTTCTTTACTCTCCTTTCTCCTGCTGTTGTTGTATCTGTTCCAGGTGCATGCTTGCAGCTGTGCTGTGTTTACCATTACCAAATTTTCTCTTCTCTCACGTCTCTCTAATGACAGAACATTGATTTCTGATTGCCATTTTGGTTGAATAATTCATATTGCAGTCTTTTTCTGTTCTCACTGGTCTGCTTTGGGTGCATGCTTTTTATTCCTCTCCTTTTAAATGCAACTTTCATCCCTTACCTTCTTCTACTGCTTACTTACCAGATTGACTCAGCTATCTGCAGCATGGTGCTTCCCCCATTGAATTTCTCAGACAGACTCCTGTGAGTTTGCTGCTCTCCTTTGTAAAGCTAATATGCATTGTGCCCTGCTGAAACCCTTTTCTCTTGATCTGGGAGATCAGTAGCTGTCCTTTAATACTTTTTGTGCAGTACAATGTTCTGTTCTATCTATCAAATAAAAGCCACGATCTTTCTTGGACTGGCTTTTGCCCTATGATTTTGACAAGTTTTTTTCCCTTAAGAGATGGATCTGAATTGTGATGCACTTTCTCTTCATTACTGATGGTTATTTTTTTCTGTTAATCCAGCATATGTGTGTTTTTCACCAGATCCTTGTTCTGCCAGTTTATTGCAGACCTGCCTTTGCCTAGGGCTTGCTGAAGCTGTTCTTACTGGGTGTTACTGTGTTCCATAACTGAGAACATAGCAGGAGGAACTGCTGCACTCTGTCAAGGAAGATAGGTTTAGATTTGCTGTGGATTTTTTGTAAATAATGTGGCACAGATTGAAGTTGTGTGCAGTTTGTTTTGGCTGTAGAATTCAACAGCAACGATATGTCACAAATTGAGGCACAAAGTTGGTCTCAGATGAAGACTTACATGAGCATATTAAAATTGCCTCTTGTTGCAGTATTTGATGAAAGAACAAAAATACTTACTCAAGTATTTCATTGCTTCCAAGAGGCCTGCTTGTACAAATGGAATCTTAACTCCTAATCCCCCATGAAAATGAATAGAAGTTCTGGTATCCAGCTACCTTTCCAGACTTAAAAACCTTTGAAAAGCTATGTAGTCTAGTACCAAGGATGTGGTTCACACAGGTTTTTAAATTTCATTGCTTTTATGCTGTGTTATATTGCTGAATACCTTGTTGCCCCCAGCCATAAAATCCTTGTGAGGGTTTAAGTTCTGCAGCTTTTTGAATATCTTAACAGCTCTTTGGAGCATTTTTAGTATTTCATTGCTTTTCATTTTATAGTCCTAATCCCAGTAAATCTTCTTTGATATTTATATAAAGGGGCAGTATATTTGTCATGAACATTAAATGTATACTTAGAGTGAGTTGTACAAGGAAGAATTTGTCTTAGAAAGATGAATGATGAAAGCTAATTGGCTAGAGGTAGAGACTGTCGTTTTTCTGATAGGGTAAGTTAATTTTATTATTGTGAGCTTGAATAATTTCTTGTGTCTTGTGTCAGTGCTGTTATACCAAATTGGGGCTGAAAGCTGGCTACCCTTTCATTGTAATGCAGTGTTGATTTATCTTTAGTTTTAAAATGGGCTGTTCTAAAATCTTGCTTTAAAAGCTTCCAAAATACTTAACATTTGTGTGTTCCTGAGATCCATTTATACAAATGAATAGTCTGGAGGGAAAGAAGATAAAATTTCTTTTTTAAAGACTGAGATTGCAACTCTCAGGATCATCCTTTTTATATTACTCCTGTCAATCAAGATTAGTTACTAAACAGTAGATTTGCTATTACTATTTTATTCTTCATGTATTAGTTGCCAGCATTATTTGTTGGTAAGATTGCTTTACAAATTTCTTTGACTTCAGCTTGAAAGATTTGTGAAGACTAAACCTGATCTTTCCAAAATAATATTACAGCTGTGTGGGGGGCGTTCTTATATTTGTTTATTCTTTAGGTGAGAATAAAGAACTTCATCACTCAGTGCAACAGCCTGCTTCAAGTTACTCAAGGGGGTACCGTGGCAGAGGGTTCTCCAGGGATCTGTTTCCTCCTCCATCTGGCCCTCGAGGGTTTTTCAGACCACAAGTAAGACCACCACCACTGGTCTTTTCAGACAGGAGGATGCAGCAGGAACCACCAGTGTTTCCACCACCTCCCCGAAGAGAAAATCCAGTGATGCAACAGTATGCCTTTCCTCCTCCAGATTTAGGTTATGCCAATGATTGGCATCAATTCCACCCTCCGCCTTCAAATATGAATATGATGTGGACAGGCCCAAACGTGTACAACTCATCCTACTCATTTCTGCCACCACCACCGCCACCACCGCCACCTCCTCCTCCAGACAGCCATCCTCCTCCCTTCAGGCCTTTATGAGATTCCGTACGGGTCCATGTAGAGCGCTGCAGTTTACAGGGAGAAAGAACAGCCTGCCAGGACTGCATTCCTTTATTTTGGAGATGCATTCTTTTACTGCAGAGGTAGAACAAATGCAGAATTTTGTGCTTTATGGGACATCTGTAGGAAATTATTTTTTTCTATGTTTGTTTTCTGTTTCAAAAAAAAAAAAGTATATTATAAATTTAACTGAATATTGAGTAATAGTTTATTTTTATAATATCTGCTACTTTAAGATGATAAATAAAAGCCTTTTGGAGATTGGTATGTAGTGGTGGAAATCTATTTTGTAATAAAAGTAAGAGTTTATATAATTACTGTTAAGTAGCAATGAGGGTATTTCACATAGACAATATTATAATATTTTTCGAATTATGGTGTATTGCTATGCTAAAACTTTTTTCGCAATTTCTGCAAATTTTGAAACCTACATGGGAACTGAAAATCTGACATCTAAATTTTGAGCTAAGTTTTTCACTGTATATAAGGCATAAACCACTATCCAGCTTTCAATACTTCACTAATTTCATTTTAACTAAAAGACTACATCTGGATGATTCTTTTTTAAAAATATCTGGAGTACCTAGGTCTGAATTTGGACCAGTGGCTGATTTGCTGTGTCACATTCAGTCTTCTGCAATAGTTTTAGAAGATCAACCTATTCACGTCTAATTTAGAATCTAAAAGCAGCATAATTTCTCTAGCTTGTCACTAGCTTCTCTAGCTCCTAGTGCAGAAATGCACATAAATACCTACTAGAGTGTGCAGTCAGCCTTTCTGCGAAGAAGTCATCAGGTCTGTTGGAGAAAAAGCCATTTCAGAACTCCCTTGTTTAAATTTGTAAGTGCAGATGGTACTGGATTGCTGTTTGATTACAGTCTAAACTGTTTCTTCTGAGATGATGAGGTTCATCAGTTCTCCCAGCTTGTTTCTGGGAGGGAGGTGAAGTTATCAACCAAGGATCCACCTGTCCAAAGAGCCAGTCCTGCAATTGCATAGTCTCTATGGAAGTGACTGCCTGACTAGGAGGGAAGACCTTACAATGCAGCAATATTTTTTAAACAGGAGGAAAAAGTACTTGTGGGACAGTCATCTTAAGGATTATTTTTCTACTGAAAAGTCATTACTAGTTGTGATGATTTTTGAATCTTTACCAATACAGTCACCTTGAACTGATAAAAGTGTGCAGTATGTATTTCTATTCTCAAACTCATTTTGACCTTAATACTTTAAATATGTAAAGTGTAAGTAAGCTGTGCGGATGTTGTTTTGATTTTAATTCCTAACAGCTTTAAGAATGAAGTACAATTTTAATGCAGAGAGGTAGGGATCACCTTGTCCAAGATGGTGCAACTCAGAACTAGAATTTAATTTCAGACTTGAAAATTTGCTGTAATATATTTAAGTAACAATATTCTTTCATATATCTAGAACTACTGTTTCATGGGTGTGCAGCTGAGAAGGTTGTATAGATGTCAGTTTTTGGCAAGCTAAGGTTAAGGTACTCTACAGTGGCAACAAATAGTTTCAGAAGAGCAGCATTCCAGACATTCATGGTTAACTTGGTTCCTGCAGATTATTTTTTGTAGTAAAAAGAATGCCCAGTTCTAGTTTCTTGTAAATGTTTCAGGGGAAAGGATAAGGGGCTGCATTTCTGGCTATCTCAGCAGTAACCCAAGTATGTACCATTCCCAGTGATAAGGGATGGTACAATGATAGAGATGTTACAAGTGAATTATCAAATGTGTAAGTGTTTTCGAGTCAATTACGTAGTAAAGAGAAGGAAACTGTCAAAACATCATGGACCTGGGATGCCAGTGGCTTTCTGTATGTCTCTGGCACAGACGTCATCATCCTTAAGACCCAAAGGGGCAGTTGAAGAATTAACACCAGGAGCAGGAGTGAAGTACTAGAAAGCGCAGGTACAAGAGTCTTAATTATTGCTACTATTGCAACTGGTGTTTTTTTATGTAATATAGTAATGTTGATCTGCAATAATTAGATCTGTACTTATAATTCTTTGATTAGGCTGTTAAGATTTTTCTTAAATGCATATGTGTTCTCCTTCCCCATAACAATATTTTTGCATGTAGCAAAGCCAAGTATAAAGCTGGGTTATGGAATGTAGTTTAACAGAAATATGCTGCAATCTAAGTTGTTTTACTAATTCTTGGTTGTTAACTGCAATACTGTTATTGTGTGCACTTGCCTGATTGCTAGGCTTAGGGCTGTCAGTTTGGTCAATTTCTAGTAGAGAAAGTAGAGGAAATAAGAGTATTTTCTAGCAGTTGAAAATTTCTTTTTTTCTGACTCCTATTGTCTGTTCTAATATACAACCTGGAAAGCTGTAATAGAGCTCTGCCACTTCTGTAATATTTTTAGTTATTCCCCTTTCTTGAGGCATTTCTTCATGGCCTGCTTTCCAGAGAGAGCTTAAGGCATGGGATGGAGGGGAGAGACTTGAGGAAAAAAAAAGCTTAGGGGAAGGTTTGCCTTGATTTTTCCAAGAGCTGAGTTTACAAATAGAAGTATGGATGCAGTAAACTTTTGGACTGTATAAATTACTGTGACTGATGACATGGGAAATGGAAAATGTAATTGCGCGTTTGACAGCATTCCTCTTAAGCTTATAAACAAAAGTGATGCTTTTGCTGGTCTTTAATTTAGACAAGAGTCAGCAGCAGGAAGGGGATGGACTCATCTTGGAGGTGAACAGCAAAAGGACGAGCAGGTTTCTTAAAAGAAAATCTCTGACAAGTCATGTGGGAAGCAGCGAAGCCCCTGCTACCATAGATTGCTTGGAGAGATGGTGGAATCTCCAGTCTTTGAGGGATTCCGAATTTGACTGTGGACAATGGCCTGTAAGATGTAATGTCCAAAATCTTTGAGTGGAGAGGTGGGCCAGCTGGTCTGTGAAATCCATCCAAGCCCAAACTAATCTTTTCATTACTATCATTGTTCTGGAGTTCTGTTTTCTCACCAGTATTTTTTTTTATGTCTAGGTGCTAAGAGACATGAGTAGCCTAGCCTGAATTACTGTTTTTTAGGAAGCTTGGCTTTTCATTTATGCTGTTATACTCTTTCATTGTACCTCAGATTTTTATAAACAAAATAATCATGCTGTTTGAAAAGTTGGACTTGCGGCAGGAAATGAGTGCTTCCATTTCACTGGATGTAAGATGAATTGAAGAATTGTTCCTTTATTAGTTGTTTGGAAACTAATGCTAATGAGAGTTTTAGTTGCTGTCATTTTCCCTTAGGGGGGAAAATAAAGCATTTTGTATTGTACAATTTATTTTGAGAACGTTATCAAGGAATAGCTACCCTTTTTTTTTTTAAATTTTTTAATGCAACAACAAAAAACCCCTGAGAATTATTTTTAACAAATCTTCTCTAAAGTTGGGATTTTGCCTTAGATGAGGCCTTTTTAATAATGCAAGGCACTCATGCCAGGATGCATATTAATGACGTACAGATGAAAATAAGAAATGAGGGCTTTTTGGAGGTTATATTTAGATGTTTCCAGGTTTAATTTGGATTTCTTTGCAACTCAAAGGTATTCTTGCCTAGAGAATTTAGTGCTGCACATAATCTGATTTAGAGGATTGATGAATCTGCACAAAACAGTTGGTAATAAATTTGTTATGGTGGCAGGTGAAAAAATGGAAAACACTGCCAATGATGACAAGGCTTTTTCAGAACAGTTTACCTGTCAAGGCAAATACATAATCTGGAAAGCATGAATAATGATCTTTATCTCAATCACTCTATGGCTTATTCAGAGTTGTTGAATGTGGGGTAGTCTTCACTTGCCATAAATGAGATCTGTTGGAACTATGGAAGAATAATATTGTTGATTTTCCTGTGAATCTGATGCTCTGCATTTTTTAGGCAATGTTTTGCAAAAATGCTTTATTAGGATTTGCTGTTCAGTTGCTGAGGTTTGAAATGGATGGAAATTATCAATCACAGAATGGTTTGGATTGGAAGGGGTTACTAAAGACCATCTGGGTCCAAGCCTTCTGCAGTAGGCAGGGACACTTTCCAATAGATGACAGCCCCCTCCAGTCTTACCTTGCCTAGTGCACAATGCTTGCTGTTTATTAGCAGAAAGCCAGCCAGTTACACAGAGGGAGGGGCGGGAGTGAGCAACTGTCCCACACTGCGCTTTGAACTTGGACACAGAATCTTCTCTGACTCCTCTGTGAGCACCTGAGTAGTTGCGAGTACATGGGCGGAAAATAACTTGCCCTGCAAAAGGCTGAAACTGCTATGGGATCAATTATAGTTATGAAGTGTCTTAAGTTTGCTTATATTAAGTCTTAAAGACTATTGTTTGCATTCTAATCAGCAAGATTTCACTCTTGTAATTTTTTCTCCTGCTCTGGGAAGTAGGAGAGGAATATCTAGAAACTTCTTAATCATCAGAATGAAACTGCTGCTTGATACCTGAATTAGTTGTTATGAAGGTCTGTGTTTTGGAAAAGTTAATGTTTTCTTTAAAGAGAAGAAGAATGCTACCTATATCTGTTTAATACTATTTACTTTCAATTTTTAGTATGTATGTTAGGTGGTCTCAAATCTGTTTTGTGAGACTTGCATGCATGTGAAACCTGCAAAAAACCAAAGTCTTTTCGTCAATGTAGACCCAGGAAAAGAGTATATTTTGTGACTTTCCAGTTGACTCCTTTATGTGAATGTTTATCCTCAGGGAGGCTTTCAATTTGCCATTGAAAATTAAACCCAGACTGTAGAGTTTTTAAACTTGTCTACTGGATCTTCACATTCTCAATTGCACCTTTCCTGGGCTGTCCTGTGTAACAGTACACCCCTAATATAGAAGCAAATCTTTATTAAATGACTTTTGTGAGCACTTTTGTGTGTTTAGTTTCTTGGTTATACTCTTCACTGTGATGTGTTTAATTCATAGTTCTACATTTATTTATGATACCCTGCAGTCTCCACAGCTTGGCTTTGCCACATAGTGGTGCACTTGATCTTTGGTCTTGGTAAATGCTTTCTGTAGTGATGAGAACAGAGGGGTATATTTTTTCTTTCTTTTTGGCACTCTGCAACACTCATCTCTGCCACCATTATATCCAAAAGAGGTACAGTACCACGTGCACTGATAGCTCTGTTTTTGGTTATTGCATGCTTGGTGTTCTCCTTGCAATGTATCCCATATATACACATTATACTCTCTTTATGGTGTACCTCATTTTTGCTGTCAGTACCATTCTGACCCTGACATTACTTGGACATTAATA